TCTTTTGAAGGAATTGAGATAGGGTGCTGAAATTTTGCATAGGTTTGTCTTTTGTTTGCAGGCAGGTCATGTTTGAAGATGGGATATATTGGTTTACGTTTAGGTATAGCTCCCATATAACAGTACCGCCCAATTTTCGGTATTTTGGGGTTCTTGAGCGCGTTTTTCAAACGAATACGCTGAAATTTGGTACATTGGGTTCTTATTGGGTAGTAAATGTATCCACAAAAAAATATAAATATAGGTCCACTTTTTCTTGTAGCCCCCATCCATATAATGGTACATCCTAATTTTCAGTATTTTGGGGGGTTTTGTCGTATTTTTACACCGAATTGGCTATAATTTAGTATTTTGAGTTCTCCACAAAAAATTATAAATATAGGTCAATTTTTTCGGATATCTCTCATATAAGGATACCCCCAATTTTCGGTATAGAAAATCTCTCGTGATTCGTGGTAATGATTCGTAATGTAAAGTACTACTTAATCTCAATTTAGTTTTGAAACACAAATTTTTTCTCTCAATCTCTCATTATTAATTCCGTTTTTATTATCCAATAAATATAGACTTCTTATTAACTGCATCAACTTTTGACGTACACTGTTGATAATGTGTCAGCTGCTGCTGGTGCTATTAAATAAGTTAACCACAAAAAACCATATGACAAGAAAAACAAACAGACACCAAGCCCCAAACTCTAGTATAGCAACAACAAGCCGCAACAAAACAAATTTTGTTAACATTACTTGTCGCCGTCGTCTTTGCTGTGCTTTGTGACGACAACGGCACAGCACAAATTGCCGACAACAGCGGCAAATGGCGTCAAACGCAATTGTTGTCGTTGACGGCGCTGCCGTCGTTACTGTGACTTTGCTGTTGCTGACACCTTGGGCACTGTACTGCAATGAGTCATCCAAACGTTATATCGTGGCGACATGACATAAATCATACAACAACAACAATAACCACAACAATTCAGCACTACTGAAGTCAACAGCGGTGGCGGGAGTATTATGTGTGGAGGGGTAGGAAGAGAGAGATAGAGAGAGCGCGTAAGGAGGTTGACCATTGTTAGCTTTTTGTTGTTGTTATTATTATTTAATTTATTGAATTGCAATGTAACCAAGCAATTAAAAATTAAAAACATTTCTACTCTCTCATAACTACTCTAGATAATAACAACAGTAACATTAACAAAATAAAAGGTCTGATTTAATTCATGGCGGAGTGATAGCACATTTGTTTCTGCTTCTTCTTATTGTGCACCTGTAAGTGAGAAGTTTTGTTTAGTTTTGCTGGACTAGTAGTAGTGGATTGCATGTGGCTTAAAAATTAATAATGCAATAAAAAATAGTTGTTTTCTCTCTTGCCCTCTCTTTCTCTTTCATTTGAAATGTACCACAATAACATAAAATTGTATTAGTTTTGTTTGCTTATAAGGTCTGCTTCTTCTTCTTCCCCCTCAACTCACAACCACTCATCACTAAGTGAGTGTTAAACGTCAATTGAATAGAAAAAAAAGTAGTTCAATGCCACGCGAGAATTGAATTGCGAATTTATGACCATCATAAATTACAAAACAAAAAATTAAATAAATTTAATATTAGATGAAAGAGAGAGATAGAGGGGGAGCACTAAAGCAAAGTAATTTTTAGGATAGGTCGGGAAAAATTGGCGTTTTTTACATTTAAGTGTAAAAGGTATTTTAATGGAAGGCGGCTTAAAATACCAAAAAAGGCCGTTTAGTGGGATTTCTGGATTTTATATATGCTACAACATGTTTTTGATTTATTGACAATTACAACATTTTTCAACAAACAAGATTATATTTTTTCTGCATTTTCTTTAATTTTTTACATCATTATACAAATTCTCGAAGATTATTAAATTTTATAAAAACTGGAAAACCCCTACTACGGCATTATTTTCAGACATACAAAATATTATAATTTTTGCAATACTATACATTTTTTTAAATTTGTGACAATTTTTAAATGGGTTTAATTTTTATATTGTATTTTTTAATAATTCATACATGTTTTTGACAAATTTTACCTCATTAACCGAATGTTTAAATGTTCACGAAATTTTGTACTATGTACAAAAAATCATAATAAATGTGGCAGTTTCCTGAACGTTCATTGCTTTTTTACAATTTTTGACATTTACACCAGTTCGTAAAAACCTTGAAAAACACCCAATATAGCATTTTAAGAGTTTCAATATTTCCCCTCTTTAAAAGTTCTTTACAAGTTTTTGACATATTTTACAGAATGTATGTACAAAACGTACAAAATGGTTTTTGACAATTACAATATTTCTTGCCACTCAATAAGAATATAAATCAATTAATGTTTTTCAAATTTCATACATATTTTATACAAGTTTTTGACATTTGCGATATTAGGTACCTTTACAATAATAATAATACCTTTAAAATAATATTTTAAATGTTTTTTAATTTATATTTTGATTTTCTACGTTTTCGTACAAGTTTACGACATATTTTACAGTGTGTGTGGTATGTAAAAATTGTTTTTGACATTTGCTAACTTATGTATCAACCACAAAAAAATCATAACAATTATTTTTTTATAGTTTCCTCAATTTTCATAAGTTTGTTACATTATAATACATGTTTTCGACATTTACATCAGTTTGTAAAAAAATCTGAAAAAATACCCAATATGGTATTTCTAAGAGTTTTCCAATATTTTGCCCCTTTAAAAGTTTTTTACATGTTTTTGACATATTTTACAGTATGTACGAAATGTAGCACTCATTTAGAGTAGCAATCAACTAATGTTTTTGAGGTTTCATACATTTTTTTACAATTTTTTACAACTTGTTGACATATTTTACAGTATTTAATAACCATAGGAATGTTTTTTACAGTTACTAAATATTACACTAGTCATTAAAAATTATAATTAATCAATTTCTAGGATTTTTTTGGAATTTTCATACGTTTTTTACAGTTTTATACAGTTTTTTTTTTACATTTACAACATTATGTTGTAAACCTTGAAAATCGCTGTAAATAGTTTATTTCTGAGTTGTGCTTAGTTTTGTACTTTTTGAGTACGTTTTTGACATGTCTACACATTTTTTACATATTTTACAGTATGAAGGAAATGTAAAAAAAAGTTTTTGACTTTTGCAAAATTTTTTACCAATAATAATATAATTATTTTTTGGGAGTTTCCTGAATTTGTATAAGTTTTTTACATTATTATACAAGTTTTTGACATGTGTATGTTACTGTATTTATGAAATGTAAACAAAAATTGTTTTCGACAATTACAAAACTTGTTACCGGTCATTAAAAATCGTTAATAATTTTTTTTTCGAGCGTTTCCTGCATCATTATTAGTTTTTTTACATTTACAACTTTATGTCGTAAACCGGGAAAATTCCCCAAAATATGTTTTTTTAGTTCTTCCTGATTTTGTACCTTTTGAGTACGTTTTTGACACGCCTTTACAAATTTTTTACATATTTTACAGTAAGTACGAAATGTAAAAAATGGTTTTTGACATTTGTGAAATTTTTTACCAATCATAATATAATAATATTTTGGGATATTTCAGCATTTTCATAAGTTTTTTACATTATTATACAAGTTTTTGACATATGTATGTTACTGTATTTACGAAATGTACAAAAATTGTTTTCGACAATTACAAAACTTACAGTTTTATACAAGTTTTTTACATTTACAACTTTTATGTCGTAAACCATGAAAATCACCATAAATAGTTTTTTTTTTGGTTTGTCCGTGGTTTTGTACCTTTTGAGAAAGTTTTGACATGTCTTTATACATTTTGACATGTCTTTATACAATAAGTACGAAATGTAAAAAACGGTTTTTGACATTTGCGAAATTTTGTACTAATCATAAACTTTTTTTTTTGTGATTTTCCTGAATTTTACATTGTTAAACAAGTTTTTGACATGTGTATGTTACTGTATTTACGAAATGTAAAAAATGTATTTTCGACAATTACAAAACATGGTAACAGTCATTAAAAATCGTTAATAATGTATTTTTTTGGGCGTTTCCTACTTCATTATTAGTTTTTTACATCTTTTTGACGTTTACAACATTATGTCGTAAACCCAAAAATATTTTCTTTCTGAGTTGTGCGTAGTTTTGTACCCTTTGGGTACGTTTTTGTCGTCATGTATTTTATTTCTAATTGATGAGTCTTGACATTTACGGCGTGTTTACACCACTGGGCGGCAAACAATTCTTTGCCGCCTTCAATTAAGTTATCACAGACGTCATTCATTACTGATTGTTAAATATGTCAAAATATATTTTTTGTCATTGTTGTTGGTAGTTGTGTGGGGAATTAAGTCGGCCGGTCGGGTTCTTTCCCTTCGTTTCAATTCCAATAATTCAATTATCAAAGAAACAGCAACCACATAACAACAAAATTTGACAGCTGACATAATGCCAATAGAATAGATAACAATTTGCGTGTGTGTGCGTGTGTTTTTTTATTTCAGAGAGAAGAGAGTGTGAGAGCAAGACATCAAAATTTGTTTGCAGTTAAAATTCTTTTGTTTTTTCTTTAAATGTTGCGACAAGAATTGGTTTTTACCACCGGCAACAACACGAACAATAATAATAACAGCAACAACGACGACGATAACAACAACAACAATATAACGTCAAAGAAAATGTGGGTATTTTTCCAAAAAAGCCTGTGTGTGACGTGACGTCTGACAATGACTGTTTGTGTGTAAACTTTTTTTCTAATTGTGTGTGTGTATTTTTTATATCAGAATGTCTTCTAAACTTTTGCAAAAATTCAAAAAATATTGGTAAAATATACGGATTTGGGGTTTGAGAGATTTATACCCGCCAATATTTTTGTTGTCCCTTTCCCTTTATTTTGTGTTTACTTTTCTTTTTTCTCTTCTCCTCTCATCTTGTCAATTTGTAATTAATGTGTTGTTTTTTGTTTCCTTTTTTTTTGCAGTGGTGGTGGAACACAGCCTGCAGGGACATCCGGAGCCGGTGGAGGCGGCGGCGGTGGGGGAGGAGGAGGCGGTGGGGGTAGCGGCACAGCTCCTGCACGTAACGCAGTCAGCTCCGGCAATATGTATTCCGCCCGCCAATCAGTAAGCACCTCAACCGGGGTCCTTATGGTCGGACCAAATTTTCGTGTCGGTAAAAAAATTGGCTGTGGTAATTTTGGAGAATTGCGGTTAGGTAAGTAGAGTCCAGATACAAATCACTTAAATAAATAAAAAACCATGGTTCTAGGAATAAGTCAGGAATATCAGTGGGCTTCAAGAAAAAACTTTGACACCTGATATAGGAGACTAATGAAAAATCCGTTTAAATCGATGTCCTGTAGGAGGTCTCAAAAGGCCTTTTGTAAAAGATTTATCCAGGTAAAAACGAATTTAATGGAGAATTTCCATATATGGAAGATCGCTACAATGTTTCCTCAATAGATTGATGTGTAGTCCCTGGAATATCTACTATTTGTGTTGGGACCTGTAAAATGTCAGATTTAGCATCCTAGATTGATTTTTGAGTTATGACTACTTCTGGAGAGGCTTTTTTTTAATAAAACTCCCCTGAAATGATCACCTATAAGAGGTCCTAGGAATATTTCCTTCCATAGATATATAGACACCAGACATTAACTATGTGCGTTAGAGATTTTTTTTGTCTTGGATCGGAAAATATCATTGGAGATATATGAAACTCTGTTTAGCAGTGGAAATTTATTTTAAGAATGTGAGTTTCTCTGGAGGGATTTTTGTTAACGGAATACCTCTAAAACAATTGTCATAAGTGAAAGGCCCCTTTTATGTTTACTTCAATGGAAGATTCTTCGAATGTTCTCTATACAAAAATAAAGACCTCTGAAGGGACCTCAATTGATTTCTAACTATGACAAATGCCCAAGACTTTTTTATCTGCGGAAAATTCTCAACATTTCTACTTTTATAGAAGATCTCTTAAAGGGTCTAAAAACGGGGTTTTAAGGTATGCAGAGGTTATAGAAGGCATTTCAAGTTTAGAGGAATTATGGACGGTCTTCTAACAATAAAGGTCATACGAAATCGAAGTTAACTAGAGCATTTTTAGATTATGTATTTTGTCTGCAGAAGATTGGAAGATTTAGAGTATCTCCATAAGGTCTCATGTCTATAACAGATCTCAAAGTCGTATTTTGCTTTAGAGAACTTTTGTGGAGGATTTCCCTTTAAAAAGAAATATTTCTCAGCCATTTACATAGAAGTTCCTCGATCGATCGATTTAGAAATAACTCTATAAGGTATGCTTATTCGAGAAGGTTAGTCTTTGACTACCTTTGAGACTACAGCTGATCAACTTTGAAACTACATTTTATTAGCTCTGAAACTACAGCTGATCATAATGAATATCCGAAGAGGCCTTCTCGAATAAGCATACCTTATAGAGTTATTTCTAAAGACACAAGGACTTCTACAGGTCGATAATAGATCGACGAACTTCTATGTAAATGGCTGAGAGAAATATTTGTTTTTAAAGGAAAATCTTCCACAAAAGTTCTCTAAAGTCTCTGAGCTAATCAGATGTAGTCTCACAGCTGATCAGCTGTAGTCTCACAGCTGATCAGCTGTAGTCTCAAAATTGATCAGCTGTTATCTCTGAGCTAGTCAGCTGTGGTTTCAGAACTGATCAGCTGTTATCTCAGATGTAGTTTCAAGGTTGATCAGCTGTAGTCGCAAAGTTACTCAGCTGTGGTCTCTGAGCTAATCAGATGTAGTCTCACAGCTGTTATCTCAGAGCTAGTCAGCTGTGGTCTCAGAACTGATCAGCTGTAGTTTCAGAGCTGATCAGCTGTAGTTTTAAAATTAATCAGATGTTATCTCAGAGCTAGTCTGTGGTCTCAGAACTGATCAGCTGTAATCTCAGAGCTGATCAGATGTAGTCTCAAAGCTGATCAGCTGTTGTCACACGGGTATTCATTATGATCAGCTGTAGTTTCAGAGCTAATCAGCTGTGGTTTCAGAACTAATCAGCTGTAATCTCAGACCTTAAAACTGATCAGCTGCAGTCTCAAAGCTAGTCAGATGTGGTCTCTGAGCTAATCAGCTGTAGTCTCAAAATTTATCAGCTGTTATCTCTGAGTTAGTCAGCTGTGGTCTTAAAACTAATTAGCTGTAATCTCAGAGCTGATCAGATGTACTCTCAAAGCTGATCAGCTGTAGTCTTAGAGCTGATCAGCTGTAGTGTAAGACCTGATCAGCTGTGGTTTTAGAACTAATCAGCTGTAATCTCAGAGCTGATCTGTAGTCTCAAAGCTGATCAGCTGTAGTTTTGGAGCTGGAGGATCAGCTGTAGTTTCAGAGCTGATCAGTTGTAGTGTTAGAAGTGATCAGCTGTAGTCTCAGAGTCAATCAGCTGTAGTTCAGAGCTACTTAGCTGTTATCTCAGAGCTAATCAGCTGTAGTCCTAGAGTTCTTGTTTCAGATCAGCTGTTAGGACCTGTTTTGTTTTTACTAGAGTCCTCTAAGGTTTCTGTACATGTAGAAGGTCCTATGTTGATACAGAAAAACATACAGAATGTGTTCTGTAGAAGGTCTTTAATTTTGAAACCCCTCTCATGAACAAAATGTACAAGAGCTATTCGATTTTTTTTTCGATGTTACCAAAGAGGTGATAAACCTGTTCAGCTTCGAGAAAATGAGATAGTATTTTAAAAAAAATTAGCTTTTAGAATTTTCTATGACGCGAGACGTCGTTTCATTTAAAGAAAATACAATAACAAATAATTTGTTGTAGTATTTTTTTAACAAAATTTTGTTTGTGGAAATTATTTACGCCATTGGAAATCCCACAATAGCATGGTGTTTTTTCCTTTGGCATTTAAATTCATTCTTCAAATATTCTCCTTTTAAACAAAAAAATACTCTACAGGTCGTCGAATGTGTTTCTTTCCATCAACACCCTATGCCGAAAAGAGTATTAATCCAGCAGGTATATACGATTTGTCTTTGCCTGCAAATGGTGTCCGTGTGTACGTCGATGTGTCGTTCAAAATTCATGATCACGTTGTTGTTATTGTGAATTAAGCAATTTTCATTCATCATCAGCTGTTTGGATTGCATGCATCCATCGTAAAATGATGACAACGTGTGAACCACCATACATCATACTCTTCTTAGTTTAGGGATCTCGCAATCGTTAACAATCATAACCAGCTACCGACTGTGTGATATTTTTCTTTCGTACGGTAGAACAGCTGTTGGATTGCTGCATGCATCATAAAATGATGACATCGTGTTAACCATCATTTACACTCTGTTTGCATAGGGATCTCGCAATCGTAATCAATCATTTTCAACAAAAAAAGTCGAATTTGTGATATTTATCTCTCTCCTCGTTCTCTTTTCAAATTGTGTTGTGATCATCGTATGGTTGCCTTAGATTTTGTGATTTTGTTTACAGCTTAAATGTATGAATAATAAGTTTTTGAAATTCATAATATATTAATGTGTATATTTTTTTACTTCCCTCCTCCTCTAGGCAAAAATCTGTACAACAATGAACATGTAGCAATAAAAATGGAGCCAATGAAGTCAAAGGCTCCACAACTACACTTAGAGTATAGGTTTTATAAACTATTAGGATCACATGGTAAGTCGATTTTTGAACAATTTACATTGTATTATTTTTTTTTTTTGGCTTTATTGTTTTTGTTATTTTTTACGTTTGTTTTTATTTTAGCAGTAAATTGTATTAGAATATTTTCCTAAAAAAATAGATTTCTTAAATGACTTGAAAAAAATCGGAACAGAAATGGGGGAAAATGGGAATTTTCAATTAAAAGATTTTTTTTTTTTTTGAATTCCATTAAGGTATTGAAATACCCCAATAAAATTGAGTCTAAATTTCGCTCAAAAAAAAATCAGATTAATGGGCAAGCATTTCTTTTTTTTCTAATCCCATTAAGAAGAAAACTTTTTACAAAAAAAAAAAATTGCTTTAATTTTCTTTCAATATATACTTTTTATTCTCTGTTATACTATACATACATATATGTATCTATATACTATATAAAATTTCACTAACTTATTTAACTTTGAAAGAAAGAAGAAAAAAAAAAATAAAACAAACAAAAAAATATATTTACTTTGACGTTAATAATAATCCCTATAGAAAACTTAGAAAATAAATAAACAGCCCTCCCCAATTTTTTTAAGAATATCCATTTTTTTTTTGCTGCACCGTTACCACCTTTTTGTTGAACCAACAAAATAAAAACGAAACTTAACGAATTTTTTCTTCAATTAAAAAAGAAAACTGTTGTTGTCTACTTTTTTTTCTATATACATTCATACATACATATATGCAGATTAAAATATATATATGTACATTGTTACATATTAAGAAAAAAAATCAAGATTTATTTTCTCTAGCATATTTACAACGCGCGGAGGTCGGTGCTTAAACTATTTTTCTTTTCTATTTAATTTTTATAATTAAATTTCAAAATACAAATTAATATTATAATTAGAAAAAAAAAAACAGTTGACCCGTTCATACATACTACACACACACTTACATTATAAATGTTGTATTTTTATTTATTATATTCTATATTTTTTAATATTATTAAAATTTTAATTAAAAAATGTAGTTAAAATTCTTTGGCAAAAAAAGTAAACAAAAAACACAAATTGTTGTTATTATAAATTGTGTTGTAAACACTTTGTAATATATATTTCTTAAATTTAAATTACATTGAACAATATATTTTGTTGTGGTGATATATTCTTTTTAACGACCTAGCGTTCCCTATGTGCGTTTATATGGCAAACACAATGACGGATGTACAGCAGATAGGGTACACATAGTCGAAATATGACACAAGTCATTGTATACGCAGAGTGTTATAACGGCGTCATTCATGTATTAGGGTGCACTAAATCGAATTATGACAACTTGCTTATAATCTGTTTTTCTTGATAGAATAATGAAATTTGAGAGAAAAATATTTAAATAATTTGCCAATTATTAAAACAAAATTAAAAGATAAAAAATACCATGTTTACACGAATCGATTTGAATAAAATAAATAAAAAGTCTGTTCATTATGGAAAAAATTGCCTATGCCGATGGAATTGTTGCCATAGATTGGGCGCCATTTCATGAAATTGTAAAAACAAAATAAATTTCCCAATAAAAAACAAAAAATCCCATGCTGGCGCCATTTAAAAAAAATATAGTTAAGTGTGGCAAAAAGTTTTAATTTTTTAAAATAAAAAGTCTGTTCATTATGAACAAAATCTTCTACGATGGAATTGTTACGCTTGCTATACGTTGGGCGCCATTTAATAAAATTGTATTATTTAAAAATATTAGCAAACAAAAAATACAAAATAAAGGGGTTTGTCTAACAAAAGAAATTCCCATGTTGGACGCCATTTAAAAAATATATAGTTATGTGTGGGAAAAAGTTTTAATTTTCTAAAAAAAATAAAGTAAATATATTAGCTAAAATGGAGTTTTATTTTTGTTTTTATATGAGACACACAAATGTTTCAAGTTGATCGCCAAAATTTATTTACAAAAATATCAATTTGTTCTTGGCTAACAATTCTTTTACGTTGGGCGCCATTTTTTTAAATATAATTTCTTATATATAACTGTGTGTTATTTAATATTTTTTATTAAAAAAATCTACAAATTTTAGATTTTTTTTTAGCCACTCTAATCAGATTTTTATCATATAATTGCCCCCACGTTGGGCGCCATTTTCATAAAAACTCTTTTTTATGTTCTTAATAAATTATTTCACCAAAATGTTATATTACACACAGAAAAAATTTTAAAAATGTTATATGCCTCAAAAAGCTTGTGTTGGGCGCCATTTTTAAAAAAGCTTTATTCTTTAATTTTGCCAAAAATTTTATAAAAAAATTGTAGCCACACTATAATGAGATTTTTATCAGATATTGCCCCACGTTAGGCGCCATTTTTAAAAAAGCTTTATTTTATAATTTTGCCAAAAATTTTGTAAAAAAAAAAATTTAGCCACACTATAATGAGATTTTTATCTGATATTGCCCCACGTTGGGCGCCAGTTTCATAATAACTATGTTGTATGTCTTAAAACCCTATAGCGGGATAGTAAAATTCCTGTTCTGGGCGCCATTTCTTTTTAATCTTGGTCTTATAATTTGAGTCAAAAAATTAATACAAATTTTATAAAAAAAATTGTAGCCACTCTAATGAGATTTTTTAAATATATTGCCCCACGTTGGGCGCCATTTTCATAATAAGTTTTTTTTTTACTATTTCAATAAATTATTTCATAAAAATGTTATATCACATACAGAAAACTATTTTAAAATATTGTATATCTCAAAAAATTATTGTTCAATGTTTTTTTTTTATATTTAAGAAAATGTATTAAATATGTATGTTATTGAAATTATTATATACAAAATAGTTAAAATTTTGTATGGTTTTTGTCAAAGTCACATTATTATTTCTTTTTTTATAAATATTAATTAGATATAAAAATCGTTGTTAAAGGACATTTTTTTAATATAAAAACAATATTATAATAAAATTATTAAATTAAATACATTTACAAAAAAAACCTTAAACTAATGATGCCATCCATGATGACTTGAACTCGAATTGGCCCACCCTATATGTCATCTGTCAAATTTGCCACCATTGTACAATTTATTGTCCAACCAAACTTTCGAATGCCGCAACGCACAATGTGATCCGATCTTCTTTTGTACACTCCATACAAATACCTATTTTGAAATTAGTTTGATGCAACATCAAACCACAACAATATATTCTAATACCAATCAATGATATTGAAAATATATATTTATCTTCTTGGCTCATATATCTATTTTCAATATAATATTTTGTTGTAAATGTTTCCACTACATATATATGTATAAATATATATATATATATATATATATATATATATATATGCGTTTCTTTTTTACATATATATTTTTAAAAATATATTATATTTTTTGGTAATTTTTTTTTATTGCGAAAAAAATATAAAATATTTTTAAAAATATTTTTATAATTTTTTATTATATTTTAATTTATATATCTATACATATATACTTTGAATTATCTATATGATTCTCCCTATCACACCTCACCCACATATAGATAATTGTCCAGAGGGTATTCCACGTGTCTATCACTTGGGCACTTGTAGTGGCCGTTACAATGCCATGGTATTAGAATTATTGGGACTGTCTTTAGAAGATCTCTTCAATATATGCAACCGTCAATTTTCACTCAAGACTGTACTGATGATAGCTAAGCAACTTGTAAGTTTATACAAAAAATCAGTAATCATTTATATTATTTATTAAGAAATTATTATTTGTTAATAATGAAAAAACAAATTAGGAACCTGGGATTTTTTTGAGACTCCAAAATATCATAAAATGGAAATTTCAGGTTCCTTTTGTTTTCAGTAATACCTAACATATCCGACTACACAACACTACACTCAAAAAAAGTAATAGATCTGAAAATGTATTTCCTTTTAGTTTATTTAAAGAAGGAAAAAAGTGAAATCGTTTTAAAAAAAAAATATTTTATTAAAAAAAAATATATAAACCCACCACTTTATTTCTTCTTTAAATCTTTTTTTTAACAGTGTCTCAACTACAAATAAAAAAATAATAGAAAAATTCTAAACGAAAATAATTCAAAATAAAATGTAAATTATATAATACTTACCTACATTTATTTATAATATATCAGAAACAACAACAACAATGAAAACCAAATTACTATTATTATTAACAAAAAAAAATCCATATTTTATTAATTGTTATATTTGTAGAAAAAAAATTCTGTAGCATCTATTTTTTTTCTAATTTAATTAGGATTGTTTTTATATTTTTCTCTAAACTTAAATAGAATTTGTTTGATTGGTTATATTGAAAATTAAAAAATATTGTTTAAATACTACTCTTAGCAACAAAACTGACTTTAGTATTTTCTTTAAAATTAACAACAACAACAATCTCTTACACATTTTCTATTTTTTAATACACACAAAATATATATGGGGCATGATTTTCTTAGAACAACAACAAGAAAAACATTTTCAAAACCTTTACGAGAATTTATATTCTTAGAATTTTTTTAAGAATAAATTGAAAATAATATGAAATTGTGAAGTTTTGGTATGGCCCCACGTTGGGCGCCAACAAAAAATTGTTACGGAATTCTGTCTTTCATCAATACGATAGCTTATTTAACAACTTTTTCCTCTTTCAATTTCAAATATCTATTTGTACATTTCATTTCCTTTAATGTTGGGCGCCAATTTTTTTTAAATACACAAAATACATGGGGCATGATTTATTATGAAAATGGAAAAACAACAAGCGAAACATCTTCAAAACCACTAAGAAAAATTATATTTTTAGACATTTTTAAAACATACATTGAAAATAATAAAAAATTGTGAAGTTTGGGTGCAGCCCCACGTTGGGCGCCAACAAAAAAATTTTACGAAATCCTGACTTTCACCAATATGATAGCTCATTTAACAACTTTTTCGTCTTTAAATTGCAAATATCCATTAGTTTTGCACATTTTTATATTAATTCGACGTTGGGCGCCATTTTTGAAACTTTGTAAAAATTAAAATTTTCCCCAAAAAATATGTAAGAAATAAATTAATATCCATAATATGTATATTAATAATACTGATAATAATATGAAATTGTGAAGTTTTTGGTATAGCCCCACGTTGGGCGCCAACAACAAAAATGTACGAAATTCTGTCTTTCATTATATTAACAAATAATGAAAGCGTTTTTAGCAACTTTTCTCTCTTTAAATTTCGAATATCTATTAATTTTTTCACATTTTTCCATTTATTCTACGTTGGGCGCCATTTTTGAAAATTTCTTAAATTTCAATTTTTTCCCCAAAAATATGCATAAGAAATAAATTATTATCGACGATACAGATAATAATGAAATGTTATTAAAATATACTCTAGCTCCACGTTGGGCGCCACGAAAAAAAGTTTTAGGAATATTTGTAGCAAAATAATAAAGGCTAATTTCTTAATAAATTAGAATGTTTTCTTTGAAATTAGTTATGTCGAGAAAAGTTTTTAAAATTCGATAATTAACAAAGAAATGCATTAATTTGGCTTTGCCGCCAAATCCAGCTGGTCGTTGTTACACCATACAACAGTTGATCTTGTAATAATATCCGTTATCATTTGGTTTAGTAACGGCCAATAAGAGACAGTTTTACACAAAAGTCAAAGAAGAACCGTTGTTACACAGTTATACCATAGTATAATCAGAGATGCGATATTATTAAAACTTAGCATAGCCCATTGGGCGCCAAGAAAAAATTTTTGTTGTTTATTTTTTTTCTAAATTGGGCGCCATTTTTTGTATTATTACAAATAAAAAAAAAAAAGATTCAGATTGGCCCCACGTTGGGCGCCAAGAAACATATAACTCTTGATAGCTCCTGACTTTCATCAAGAAAATTAATGACGAGCAACAGCTTTGCTGGCTTTTTATTCAGTTTTCTTGAATTTTTTTCACACTTCATTTAACGTTGGGCGCCATTTTTGAAATTTGTTAAAAATTGGATAAACAAATTAATTCTGCTGTCTTTTTATTCAGTTTTCTTTGATTTTTTACACTTCATTCCCCCTTTCAAGGTTGGGCGCCATTTTTGAAATTTACTAAAAATCATATTTTTTACACCAAATATGAATACAAAAATTAATAACAATCATATCATATAAATATTTAACAAAATGAAATGTTAGAATTTGGTATAACTCCACGTTGGGCGCCAAAAAAACGTTTTAGGAATATTTTTTGTCATATAGAAAAGTGCTTGAAATTGACACTTCATTTGTTAAACCAGTGAAATTAATACCTCATTATTATTAATTTTTTTTTATACGTTGGGCGCCATTTTTGTAATAATACAAAATTGTTAATATTTAGTTTAGACCCGCGTTGGGCGCCAACACAAAATTTGAGATACACTTGTTTTTTTTTATCAAGTAAATTAATGTTAATTTAATTAATCCAAAATGTTGGGCGCCATTTATAAAGTATTTTAAAATTATTATATGCTATAGATTATGTGATATTTATTGAGAGTAATGAAGAATTCTAAATATTTGGTATAGCATCACGTTGGTCGCCAATCCTTAAAATGTTAATGAAACTAATTTTTCATCACGTATTTTAATGCTGCACAATAAATGTTGTATAGCAAGAAGTGTCGAAAATTGGTACCGACCAATACAGGCTCAATATTTAGGCGTTGATTTTTTTTTTGGCTTTACTAAGAAAATGTTGGGCGCCAATATTAGATAACCCATATAAGTATAAAAATGCCGGACTTTTTTTTTGTAATTATCTTGCTTAAAATATAGTTCCTTTCCTCTCAGACACTGAATTAAATCCCTTCATTTTGTTTTCAAATTTATTGTATACCACCCACCTCTGTATTCGTTTCATATATATATACCCTGCTCCCCTTCTTTTTTGCATGTGTAATATGTTCTAAATTAATATATAATTTTCTTTTAGAACATACTAACCACACAATATTTGGCCAAAATACAATTTTTATTGACCTTTCTTATTAAAAAGTAGGAAATATATTTCTTGATAAATTTAAAAGGATTTCTTTTACATTAATTGTAGAGAAAAGATTTTAAAATTTTAGAATTTACAATAAAATACATAAATTGGGGCAAGCTGGCCGTTGTTACACCACATAACAGCCGATGTTGTATTTCATCTGTTATCTTTTGGTTAAGTAACGGCCAAAGAGAGAGGCAGTCTTACACATAAGCCAACAAGAGCCGTTGTTACATGGCTATACCATAGCATCAGAATGGGAGAGAGAGAGAAAAAACATCAAATAGAGTAACAATGGGAAGCCTAATATCACATTTACATTACAGTGACATTGTTTACATTGGACATTATCAGAAATAGTACACCGTAACGTAACTGTAAAGTAAATGTTCCAGTCTTGTAAATTAAATGTGGGCATATTTAAAATATTTTAATAGCCTGGGCATTATTTTTTCGCATATATTTTTGGTTATATTGTAAGTATATAAATATTTAAAATAAATAAATAACATTTTTATAGTTAAAGAAAAAAAAATCAAGCATTTGACTTCCATTTCGAAAATATGCAAAGAGAGAATGTCTTTTTTTTTCTTTTGTGTGACGATGATGACAATTGATTGAAAAAAATGTATACTATATAAAAAATAATAACTTATGAAGGTGGTAAATAAAACTAAATGATTTAAGCATAGATTTTGTTTACTGTAAATTAATAATTGGCAAAAATAGAGCAAATATTTTCCCTGCTCTCTATTTAACAAAAAAAAAAAAAGAAATTCAGACAACAACAACAATTCCCTTCGTTAAGCCTTATGCAAAAATTCCACAAAAAGCCGCCAAAAATGCAATTTGAAAAAAAAAAATAAAAGAAATCGAATCGAAAAACAAAATATGTCCTCCCGTTAATTTTCATTTATTTTTTCATCTTCTACTTTTTTCAAAATAAAACAACAAAAACAAAATTAGCTTACCTTACTTATAACAAAAAAAATGAAAAAAAAATCTGCATTGTTGTTGTTATTGTTTTTGTTTGTTATTATTGTAGCAGAAGGTGTACCCGAAGTATATTACTTCGGACCATGCGGCAAGTACAATGCTCTTGTTATGGAATTGCTCGGTCCATCACTTGAAGATTTATTTGATATTTGCGGCAGACGTTTCACTTTGAAGACAGTACTACTGATAGCTATACAATTAGTAAGTACCCCATAAACAAATACAAACAAACAAACAAAAACCCCAAAATCAAACTTCTTCTCCTTGTTTTCATTAATTTAATCGAAAAATGAACCCAAAACAACAACAAATACACAAAAATAATTAATTTAAAGCTATAGCAAATAAGTAACGAAAAAAAACACAGCTTTAACCAAATCACCACCACCACCACCCTTCAAATAAATGACAATTAACACATGGTTTGTAAAAAAAATTTGATCAGAAAATGCGGGAAATTAAATATGCCTTAGGACCCTTATATAATATATAGAAGATTTAATTATTTTCCATAGAATTCTATTTTGTATTTAATTTAATTTTTAATTTTTAAATTCTAAATTTCCATCCCTGTCATTTGGTCGAACGCGCACTTCTCTCTTCATTTCTTATGTGTGAATAGAGGGTAATTCCCCATAACATTTGACTGTTGACATTAAGAGAAAAAAGTACTGTACATTTTCTTATTTATAAGGTGGTCGGTCCACACATTAAGTCAGTTTCTCCAAATGACAATTAATTTGAGAAATTTATGTACCGTTTTTACACAACCTTTACTCTCTTTCACAACATTTCTAAAGTGGTCGGGTCATACACTAAGTCAGCTTTTTCAAATGTCATTTAAATCGAGAATTTGATGTACAGTTGCAAATTTATTGACCGTGTTTACACAACTTATTCTCCCTTTGACAACATTTCTAAGGTGGTCGGGTTACACAACGAATGCCAAGTAATTCAAGAATTCGATGTACAGTTGCAAATTTATTGACCGTGTTTACACAACTTATTCTCTCTTTGACAACATTTCTAAAGTGGTCGGGTCACACAATAAGTTAACACGAATTTCTTTATTTTGATATAATGTTGCAAATATTTTGGCCGTTTTTACAGAACAGACTCTTATTATAACCTGTGTTTTTGACAAAATTGCTAAAGACGGACGGGTCACACATTAAATTAAATCGAAAATAATCCAATTCCACCTAGAAAAACTACAGATTGTTGATGTCTTTACAATTTACCTGGGCCCATATTCTCCTCACCCACATTTGAACATTTTTTTTTACAGACCATGTGTTTTGAAAATAAACTTGTTATGGACATTACATTATTATTTTTTTTTTATTATTACATATTTTGGCCTATAAATATCCGTGTTTTTTTAATATTTTTTGTTCTTGTTTACATACATTTGTTTTTTTGCTCATCTAATAACAATCGAAAAATTGTCATCATTGTTTGAAAATAATCCCAACTCATTTTGTTTTTGATTAACCTTTTTGTTGAATATTAACCCGAAATTACATTAAACAAAATGGTTAAGGTTTTAATTTTTTTTTACATCACCCCCACTAGTCGTTTTTTTAGAAAAAAATATATAAAGTCACTATTAGAATGTTTTTTTTCACAGCTCAATTATTTTGTTTTAGAATTAGCATAGTATTTTAGCATTTATTTTAAATTTTTATTTTATTATTATTGAACATAATTGTTGGAAGCATGTTTTCTTTTCTTTGCGAATAATCACCGCCAAAAGAGCCAATTCAAGCAACACATACAAATTGTTTTGTTATATTTCATTTTATTTTGAATTATTTTTATTTATTTATTATTATTATTTTTTTTATTACAATGCTTTTTCTTCAAATTACCAATGAAAAGTAATAATTTACATTTACAAAAAAAAAATAAATTATCATCAAGCAATTTTTTGAAAATGAATCATTTGAAAAAAGAAAAATAAATTTTATAAAATGTGTTTTTATTAGTATCCAAATATGAAATAATGCGCTAGTTGAGACACTACTTTTTTATTTTCTTTAAAAAAATATTATTTATTTATACCATATACTACAACTACTTATCGCTAATTAAGCTAAGATACAAATTACATACTATCATATGCATGTTTAAAACATATTAACTGTGCTTACATACCCTCTACATACCCACCACATACAAACATTTAAAATAACATACAGAAATTATTTTGATTTAAAAAAAAAATCCAATTAAATTTAAATATTTTTAAAACTATATATTTAAATTGATATTTGCAATATATAATACAAATAAAATTACAATCGAAGTGAATTTCTATTAAATTATCTTATTGTTTGAACGAAAAATCAAAGTTTAAGGTTAAATTTATAAAAACGCTTGATAAATTGCGACAAAATTGTTACAATATGGCGTTATTATATATGTGTAACAACGCTGTCATAGTTTACACTGTTATTGACAACTACGCCGTTGCTACAATGATCGCATGGGAATCATATGGTATTACAACGGCGTTACAATGGATAACGCCGTCGACGAGCAATTGCTGCTTAAACGGCCTGGCCACTAATTAAATTGTTCATGGGTTATTATAATTCTCAGCTGGAAATCATAATTCTATTTAAGCTAAATATTAACAGCCATTCTGTTTTAATAAAACACATAGGCCATTTTGGCCTGGACACATATCAATTATGTAACATGGCCACACAACAAATTTGTGTAATTTTTATAAAAATTGAAAAATTTTTATTTATTACACAAACTTTTTGTATGGTGGATGGATTTCATGAATTTTGGACAATTCAAAAAAATAATAAACCCCAAGGTCACACATTAAATTGTGGACAAAAACTTATCAACATTGTCATATAATTTTATCCTTTACCGTATCTTTTAACGATTTGCCAGAAATAAAATATTATTAGGTGTACTGGCAACACAACAAATTATTTTGAAAAAAATCCGGGTCGGGCCACACATCAATTTAACAATTACATACAAAACTTTTAACTATGGAATTTAGAACATTTCATATTTTTTAGATTATGTTTAATGCCTGATGTCAGTCAATGAACAATTTCATTAAGTGGCCATGCTGCTTAATATGGAATTTAGAACATTTCATATTTTTTAGGTTATGTCACATGTCGTATTTGCACCGTATTATTTACCGTCGCGACGGTCGTTATGACAACTGCATAATTTAACATGACCGGCCATATCTACACCGCAAATGTTAAATGTAGACTTTAATTTGACGTTTTTAGAACGACTGTTGCCAGCTATAACGAAGTTTACACGCAACAATTATTTGATAATACATTTTTGAAATATTTTAAGAAAAAATACAATAAAAATTAATCAATGGAAGATATTTAGAAAAATTACAAGTAATTTTGTAGATATTTTGGAATATTTTTCTAATAAATATTCGACAAATATGTCGTATTTACACCGTAGGTTATGTCCTAAACAATTCATTTTGTTTTACAGTTATTACAACTGGGTAATTTGACATGGCCGGCCATATCTACACCGCAAATGTTAAATAAGTATTTTTATAGATCTTTTGGATCATCTTTGTAAAAAATGTGATATTTAGTATTTATTCTTTTTTTTAAATCATTAAAATTCTGTATGTTATTTTTAGATATCATCCCACTAACAAGAACCTATTATTAAAAATCCACCTTCTTATACATTTCAACTAATATTTAAATTTTTATTATTTTTTGTAAATAATTGTTACATTGTAACATCAGCTCCACCGGATCGAATATGTTCATAGTCGGCACCTAATTTATAGAGATGTTAAGCCAGAAAATTTTCTTATTGGCAGAACATCGACGAGACGAGAAAAAATTATCCACATAATTGGTGAGTTGAAGTCGTTTCCCGATTTATTTTTAATTTTATTTATTGTTTTCATTTTTCTTTCATTACGTTTCTTACAGATTTCGGTTTGGCCAAAGAATATATTGATTTAGATACAAATAGACACATACCATATCGGGAACATAAATCCCTGACGGGTACTGCTAGATATATGTCTATAAACACACACATGGGCAGAGAGCAATCGAGACGTGATGATTTAGAGGCATTAGGTCATATGTTCATGTATTTCTTAAGAGGTTCACTGCCATGGCAAGGTCTTAAGGCCGATACACTTAAGGAAAGATATCAAAAAATTGGCGATACCAAACGAGCAACACCCATTGAGGTAAGTGTAAACAACACATCAATATCCATTACAGAAATATAAAATAGTATTCCTTATGATCCTTTTCAGGTACTTTGCGATGGCCATCCCGAAGAATTTGCCACATATTTACGCTATGTGAGGCGGCTAGATTTTTTTGAGACCCCCGATTATGATTTTCTGCGAAGACTGTTCCAAGACTTATTCGATCGTAAAGGCTATGTGGATGATGGTGAATTTGACTGGACAGGGAAGACAATGGTCAGTAAACGGCAAATAGCATTGATATGAAGTTGTGATAGAGTTATACTGAAATGATTTTTTTGGAATGGAGTGGAATGGAATGAATTGAAAAGAGAATGATGAAGTATGAAAGATAGAGTATGCAAATTTTTGAATAACAGCAAGTGTGTAAATGTGGAAAAACCATTGGAAAAGAATGTGTGTGTGCCAAAAAAAATATTGAATTCTGAATGAGCCAAATGTATGCATTTCTTTTTTGGAACTTTATCAAAATAACCCTAACCAAATCTAACATTTTTTTTTTCAAAAAGAAGGTGTGAAGCATTATTTTGATTTTTTTGCTTACCCTATACCACCCTTTTGTGTACGGGCGGGAGAAAACAGAATAAGGTCCACTGTTACTTTTGACGATTATCAAATTTCGTTTTTAGCGTCAATTTTGTGTTTAATTGATTCAGATTTGAATGTAGCTCCCATACATATTTTCGTTCAATTTCATAAAAAAATGATTCCTCAAAGGTCCCACGTTTGTCCGATTTCAACGAAATTTAGTCAGGAATGACATGTGTCAAATTTGATTTGAACCGGAACAGATTTAGATATAAACTCCCACATAAATGTTGTTCCGATTCCATAAAAATGGTGCACAAAACACCCCACGTTTATGCGATTGTCACTAAATTGTGCATATCGTATTGTATTGAGTCATGAATGACGTGTGCCAAGTTTCAATCAAATCGTTTCAGATTTAGTTATAGTTCTCATATAAAATTTCTTCCGATTTCGTTGAAATTGTGCAACAGAGACTCGACCAAGTTTGTCCGATTCCCACTAAATTTTGTATAGGGTACTAAATGGAGTCCCTAATGGTGTATGCCAAATTTGCTATAAATCGTTTCAGATTTTTATATAGCTCCCATGTATATTTTCAACCGATGTCAGGTTTAATGTCGCATAAAAGTCCACAAGTTGGTCTGATTGTCACGAAATTTTGCATATCATACTGTATTGAGTCAAGAATGACGTGTCTCAAGTTTTATTTAAATCGTTTCAGATTTAGTTATAGCTCTCATATATAATTTCTTCTGATTTTGTCTAAATTGTGCACCAGACACCCCAAGTTTGTCAGATTGCCACTAAATTTTGTATAGGGTACTAAATGGAGTCCATAATGGTGTATGCCAAATATACTTTTAATCGGTTCAGATTTGTATATAGCTCCCATGTATATCCGATATCAGGTCGCATCCAAGTTCACAAGTTGGCCCGATTGCCTCGAAAAATTTCCTATCGTACTGTATTGAGTCAAGAATGGCGTGTGCCAAGTTTCATTTAAATCGTTTCAGATTTATTTATAGCTTCCATTTCTTCCGATTTTGTGCACCAAAGTCCCCATATTTGTCCGGCGTAGATTTATTAAAGAGTCCCTTTTTGGATGTCCCTCAAAGCGTACATTTACTCGTATTAAAGAATATTTTTTCAAAGATCCCTCAAAGCGTAGATTTATTAAAGGAACTATTTTAAATGTCCCCTAAGGCATATATTTATTAGAAAATATTTGTTAAAGGTCCCTCAATGTGTGGAAATAATTAGGAAATATTTTAGGGACCCTCCAAACGCAGATTTGTTAAAGGAAATATTTTAGGGTCGCTTAAGGTATTTCGCATAGGGCACTCAATTGAGTTTAGAATGGCATGCGTCATGTTAGATTTAAATAGTTTCACATTTGCATATAGCTGTCATATATACATTGGGCCGATTTCAGATAAGTAGCGAACGAAAGATCCTACGTTTGTCCGACTGAGAAGAATGTGTCATGTTTACATGTAAATCATTTCAGATTTCCAATTTCATGTATAGATACTTCACTACAAGAGTTTTAGAACATCTCTTGCCAAAGTGGTGGTGTAAGGTAGAATATTACATAGTCGGCAATATACGACTTTAGTCCATTTCTCATTAATTTCTGTTTATTTAATACATTTTATTTTGTATCATTTTATATTTGCAAGATTCTATACCATTTCCCCCACACCCCTCCCGAACAAATTATCACTCCCAAAGGTGATGAGCAAAGGAGAATTTCAAAATTTTGAATTAAATTGTAATGATGTGAACCCCAGTCTCCCTACTCTCCTACATCCTCAATTATATTTTATGTATTATTCTTTTTCTCCTCCATTTTAAGTTGTTTTCCAATCCAAAATAAATAATCAAAATGCATACAGAAACCAAGAGATATTTTGATATATAACATTATTTTCACATACAACACAATTAAACATAATTTAAATTATTGTTTATATATATATTTTTTGTAATCGGATATTGTTATGATTTTTTTTTTTGATGTTATATTTGTGTTGAAAAAAAAATCACACACATTTTTTTATGTCTTGCCTCCTCATCTCGTAATAGAACAAGGATAAACTTGATCAAATGAAAGCTATTAAAAATGCACCACCTTCTCATTTAGCCAAAAACAAATCGGATAAGGTATTCTTGTTTTGTTGTTATTGTTTTTTTTTTCTTTTTCATTAATTTGTATTATTTGTTGTGTTTGTGTACATGAATAGTTTTTTTGAAATCAGCTTTCTATGAAGTATGCTAGTATGATGTGAGTGCTAATAATGATGCGTAATTTTGAATTATTGCTGCTGTAATTCTATTGTTGTTGCACAAAATAAGAAACGGCATTAATAAGGGCCGAAATATTGTCCAAATATATATTTATAACAGATATTTTTATTTTATTTTTTTAAGGGAAATATTATGATTAATATTTAGAAGAAAAATTTTCAGCAGATTTGTTAAATAATGTTTCCATGAAATACTCTCTGAAATCATGTTGACTTATTAAAGAATATCTTTTAAAGGTCCCTCAAAGGATAGATTATTAGATAAAAACACTTTTTAAATGTCCCTCAAAGCGTAGATTAAATAATATTTTTAAAGTTTCCTCAAACTGTGGATTTTTTAAGAATATTTGTTAAAGGATTCTCAAAGATTAATTTTTTTAAGAAATCTCAAGTCGATTTATTTTTCCTAAAGACTCAAATTGTAGAGTTATTAAAGAATATTTTTTAAAAGCATACATTTTTAAATAAGCCCTTTTTGAATGACCTTCAAAGCGCACATTTATTAAAGAATATTTTTTAAAGATCCCTCAAAGCGTAGATCTATAGAAACAAATTAAATTTAAAGCCAAATTTATTATTAACAACTATTTTTAAGGTCTTTCAAAGTCTATTAATAACTATTTTTAAGGTCCCTTAGGGCATATATTTCTTAGAAAATATTTATTAAAGGCCCCTCAATGCGTAGATTTATTAAAGGAACTTTTTTTAGGATCCACCTCCAAATGTAGATTTATTAAAGGAAATATTTTAGGGTACCCTCCAAGCGTAGATTTATTAAAGGAAATATTTTAAGGGTCTCCTAATGCATATATTTATTATAAAGTATTTGTTAAAGGTCCCTCAATGCGTAGATTTATTAAAGGGCATTTTTAGGGTCCCCTCCAAACGTAAATTTATTAAGAGAAATATTTTAGGGTCCATTCCAATCGTAGATTTATTGAAGCATAAATTTATTAAATATACCATTTTTGAAGGTCCCACAAAGCCCACATTTATTAAAGAATATTTTTAAAAGATCCCTCAAAGCGTTGATTTATAGAAACAAATTAAATTTGAAGCCAAATTAATTATTAACAAGTATTTTTAAGGTCCTTCATAGTCTAGATTTATTAATACCTATTTTTAAGGTCCCCTAAGGCATATATTTCATAGAAAATATTTATTAAAGGTCGTTCAAAGTATGAATTTATTAGAGTCCTCCCTCCAAGCGTAGATTTATTAAAAGAAATATTTTTGGGTCCCCCTAATTATTAGAAAATATTTGTCAAAGGTCCTTCAATGTGTAGATTTATTAAAGGAATTTTTTCAGGATCCCCCTCCAAGTGTAGATTTATTAAAGGAAATATTTTAAGGTACGCTCCAAGCGTAGATTTATAAAAGGAAATATTTTAAGGGTCACCTAAGGCATATATTTATTATAAAGTATTTGTTAAAGGTCCCTCAATGCGTAGATTTATTAAAGGGCATTTTTGGGGTCCCCTCCAAACGTAGATTTATTAAGAGAAATATTTTAGGGTCCATTCCAATCGTAGATTTATTAAAAGAAATATTTTAGGCCCCCTCCAAGTGTGGATTTATTAAGGGAAATATTTTAGGGCCCTTAAAAGAGTGGAAATGTTAGAAAAAGGAAATATTTTAGGGCCCTTAAAAGCGTGGATTTATTAAAGAAAATATTTTTAAATATACCTCAGGAAGGGACCACATGATGTAAACACCTTTGACATTTTAATGACCACTTACGTAAGATAAGCACAGTTGCTTGTTCATTGAGAAGATTTCAATATCGAAGAACTTATGATTGCTTTTCTAGAAGAAACTTCATTGAGAGTTTTTTTTTTAATTCTAGAAAATTCTTCCGGGATATCTTGGTGCCTTGGATAGAGTACTGTATGGAGTCTAGAATGTAAAATTTAATTTAAATTGGGTTTTAAGGCCACTTGCGTATGAAAAGCAAAATTGGTTGTTCTTTGAGAACGTTTCAATATTTAGTTATTTTATTTATTTATTATCGAAGAACGAACTTATGATTGGCTTTCTAGAGGAAGTTTATTCTTGGTTTTTATGGTTCAATCGACACGATATTTTGATAGCATACTGTATTGGGTCTAGAATATCAAATATATTTTAAATCGCTTCAAATGTAGGTATAGTTCCCATATATATTTTCGTTTGATTTCAGGTTATAGAATTTAAATCGTTTTCGATGTAATTATAACTCACATATACATTATTTTTGGAAGGGGCCTAGTGTATGTAAATGCCTTGGACTTTTTTAAGACCAAAGAGTATTTGTGAAATTGATTTAATGAGAGTTTTTGTTTGGTTTCCTATATGAAGATTATAAAATATGTTCTGTAGATGAAAACTTCTTATCAGCCACAAATATTGTACATTCTGTCCTTTCGACCTCTATATTTCAATATTCTGAAGTATAAAGTATATGTTCTGGTAGACCTTTTAAGTCCTCAAAAAAAAAACCTTTAAAAGACTAAACCTTCTGGTTATCAGCCGCAAATAATAATGTTTTACAAATTATTTTTTTAATATTTTGTAAATAAATATTGATTTTCTATCATTTATTCTAATGACCTTTGAACCTTCTTGTTATCAGACGATAATAATAGTTTATAAGTTAATTAAAAAAAAAAATATTTTTTCCTTTAGACATCTGAACTTTAATATTCTAAAAACCTTTGATGTTCAATACGAGCTTTTTAGTTTATAAGTTACATATTAAAAGTATTCACAAAACCACTCGATTTTTTTTATTAATTTATAAGACATAGGTCTTTAGACCCTATATATCTACAATAGTTAGCACTCTACAATATTCTTGCTCAAATACCTATTGTCCTTTAGCCCTTTATGTGATAGTTTGCTATTCGGAAAATCTTTCAATTTGATATTTTGAATTTCAATAAAGCTATTTGATTTTCTACATGATTTCATATTCAATGAAATGTTTTATTATAATCTATTATTACTATAATATTTATAATAGATTATATTAGTATTTCATGCTAATTGAGATTAGGTTTATAGCCAGCCTTTTTGATTTTCTACATGATTTCACATCCTATTATAATCCTATTATTATAATCTATTATTAATATAATATTTATAATAGGTTTATAACCAGTGTTTTTTATGTTAATTTACCATTTTGCAGTTTCTTATTTTGTGCTACAGAGCGTAAAAAAGTGATTCTATTAAATTAAATCAAATTTATCAAATCAAATTGAATTTTTATTAAATATATATTTTATTTTTTATATGTTTTTTTTTTCAACGTGATGCATTGCAACAAAACCAACAAAACATGTGTGTTCCAAAATAATGTTGTGTCGTCCCAAAAAATAATGTTTTTGTTTTACCGTGTGTGAACATATAACAAACAACACACTTTCAACACAATACAACAACATCAACAAACACAATGTACAAATTTTCAACACATTATCGATATGGAATGGATCTGTTTAATTTCTTCAATAAAAACCACAACAAAAATGCAGTCAACGCCAGTTGGTTCATTACAAACGGGTCATGAAGTTATCATTTCACCAAATAAAGATCGTCATAATATAACGGGCAAGGTAATGTATATCCAAAAATATGTTTCTCTTTCTTTAATACAAACATATTTCAATATATAAATACTTTTTTTATACATACAATCATTATTAGTAAAACATACTACATATATATATATATATATATATTTATTATACTTAAAAAATATTGTATTTAACATATATTTTTTTATATTCACAATAACAAACAACTACTACTATTATCTTTGGGTTATTTATATATAAATATTATTTTGTTTTTCAACATTTACCTACTACTTTGTATTTTGGGTTTTTTTTCTCTCTCGACTTTGTTTAAATTTTTTTCTTCTTAATATGTACAATTTTGTTCTTAATCTTCTTCTTGTTTTTGTGTGGATATATATTTTTATTCCTGTTTTTTTATTTAATTTTTTTGGTCACTTCACATTCATTATCAAAAGGATGGTTCTTATTTTGATTATGATGATGACGATGAAGAAGAATATTTAATTTTGGAGGTTAGAAGATACTACTAAAAACTAGTTAAACTATATATGGAGTTTATATTCCAATTATAAGTACAATTACGTAATGAAAGAATAATTACGGTGTTTGTTGTGCGTGAGCGGTAGTCGTATATATATAGAAGTATTTTTGTTAGAATATCAAAGCTAGTGCGCCCTATTATTGTAATAAAGAAATTAAAACGCTAGACATTTTGAAATAGGTTTCATTTTTTCTTAGCTAATTTGCTTTAAATATCCTTTTGTCCATGTCCTCTTCCCACCTCCCACCCCCCGCATTGCTTTTCTCCCTATAAATTCCTCATAATGCTTTTTTGGTTTTTGCTTATGTACCAAATGGTTTTTTAGGTTATGAGTATTTTAGTGATTTTACCCCCCTTCCTTTGCCTAATAGGATTTATAATATGTTTATCATTATTTATTTACTACTTTTGTTTTGGTAATTATTTTATTAAGTGGTATTCTGGCTTTAAAATATATTCACTTGTTTTTAAATTGACTATTATTCGATCAGACCTAAATGGAGTCCTTTGGAATGCAATCTTTTGTTTAAATTTTATGCGATACGAATTGATTCTGTCGCAATGTATTATCTCAAAAAATAAAATCTAATTTCCAATCCATTGGAATTTGCTCGCTACTCTTTAAATGATTTTTATCCTATAAAAATTTATAGGTGATTTCAGTTTTTACCAGAGGTGTATTATTATTCTAACATCATAACAGATAGTAAGATTTGCTAAGTGGACACTTTCAATGTCCTGATGTAATCCCGGATAAAACGCACATGTGATTTCACCTCTCCCCAGAGGTATGTTGTCTTTTAACACCTGGGCAGATTTTCAAACGCCTTAAAAGGTGGTGGGATCCACACCATCCCGCTCGATATCCGCAGACTCCTTATTACGACAATTAACAACCTTAAGCCTTTATGCCAGGTGATCTGACTAAACTGTAGGTTCCGTCGATCAGCTTCGGAAGAGGCCCTTCAGATAACTGTCGACCAGCAACCATTTATCGCCACTGATAATCCCATCGGGGTCAGCACGATCTATGATTGCTACTCGCAAGTACCTCTTGTGAAGCAGCAGGGTTGCTAGGCGCCGGTGTGGATTTCTAGGCTTCCAGGTTTGAGACAGTGGGTTTGGCATTCACCACATCTTTCACCATCGATACTACCGACTACCGGGATGGTACTGAGGGCTCAGACTAGAGCCACTCACAGTCTTCTCTTTTGGAGGGTCTACCGTAGTGGTCTTCGCTCGTGGTTTAGGATACCTTTCAATCAGATTAAGTAGTATTGTTGAAAGCGCACGTTGTCCTGATAAATACCATCCAACTCCGACCATTAAAAACCATAATCATCTCTCAATCGCGCACTCCATTTTGGAATAAAAAAAAACAAATGACCCCAAAAGGTCATAAACCGCGCCAAAACAACAACTTTGCAGAGGCTTCTCAACAAGAACTCTCTAGTTTCCTGTGAGCCCCAGATGCAACAATTTTATCTTTCCTAATACAATCTGTACAGACACGAAGGTCCGTCCGGTTCCTTTTTAGATATTTTCATGGTTCTATGAGCATGTTCTAACAGAAGTGGTTGTAATTTGGCATTTTGTTTTTTCTTAGAGGATAACAAAATCTTCTGGCAAGCAATTTATAATAATATTTTTCATCGTAGGATGGGGTTGAACTAGAAGCCTTTGTCTTTTATGTGACCGACCCTTTGATGTTCTATGAGACTGAGTTTTAGTCTTGAATAAATCCTAATTTATAAATAACAACACAAAAAAGTTTTAATTAGTCTCCTTAAAATAACTGGTCCTCTTTTCTCTCTTAAGCAATATTTTTCCTCTTAATTAGATCTAAAAATTTTTTTTGAGATAAAATCAAAAAACAACACCATCTAAAATAGCACAACTGCAAGAAAATTAAAATTTCGACTTACTTTTTCCATGTTTAATTTTTACTTCAATTTTGTACTCATGTTGTTGTTTTATTGATTTTATCTCAAGAGAAAATTTGTAGACCTAATATTACATAGTATATTCTATTCTGTTCTATATACTAATTCCGAACATTGGTGATGGTTGAAAATAACAAAAATATATGTACATTTCAATTAGAGGACATTTTTATTAAATTACTACAATATTCATATTTGTATTGTGTTTGTAAACGCTTTAACTAACCATAACATTACAACAACAAAAATAAATATTAAGCAAACTGGTAGTCTACGAAAGCTTACAAATTTGCAAATTCATATTCTCGCGCGAGTTTTAAGCTAGTAAGTAATGCTAAGAATCTAATTTTCCAGTAAAATGGTAGCAGTATTTTTTTTCTGGTAAAAAGAAAAATTGAACGCTTTTCCATTTCCATTTCATAAATATGACATTGTATTTGTTTGTTTTTTGGCTTTTCGGTTTTGTTCCTCTCTATATACTTTATTTCCCTAATTTTTGGTATCAAGGTTAGTTTCAATACATTATGAGACAACAACAACAACAACAGCAATACATTGTTCACATTACTTATTTCCATTAGATGCTCTTTCTCTAAAAACAAATACATATGTAGCAACAACAATGTCATGTGGAATTATTGTGAAACTCATACAACAATTTTTATTTTTATTTTTTTCATAATTTTTCCAAAACAAAAAATAAAACCAACAAAATTCAAAATAAAAAACGAACTGTAACACCTCCTTTCCAATGACATTTAAAAACAAACTTTCAACATTTTAACAAAACAACAACAACAACTATGAATGTGTGTGGTGTGGGTACGAAATGGGTGTGTGGTGCTGCGTACCTTTCAAATTGATTCGAAAACTATTCCAAACAAAAAACACTCCTCTACCATTGTGGATGACACATTTTTGATTCCCAACCAATCATCTATCACCCAAAAAATTTGACACCAAACGCAATGAATTCAAACTCGAACGTCCTAAAAACACAGACAAATGCCAAAGGAGGTGTTGCCGCGTGGCCAGATGTACCCAAACCAGGTGCTACACTGGGCAATCTTACGCCTGCCGATAGGCATGGTTCTGTACAGGTAAGTCGTTATTGAGTGTCGAACATCATTTTGTTGTTCTTTTTTCTTTCTCTATTTTCCTTTTATTGTTTGTCTCGTCTGGCTCTTCTGTAAAAACAAAAACAATATACTGGAATTAAATACAAAATTAATTAAAGCAAACATATTATTATTGAAAAAAAAAACGTTCATTGTTCAGTCTTGTAATCGAAAAAAAAAATGTTTGAATTATGTTTAGAAAGTTATTTTTCAAAATTGTATTTCATTGTATAAATTAAAGGTTATGTGTGTTGTTCCAAATATTTATTTTGTTTCTTTGTCTTATGTTTTGAATTTTATGGTTTCCCCCAAAACAAATGCTGTGTATCCTTTTCGCGTCAAACATTTTACTTTTTTATTATTGTTATTTGTCTTATTCTTCTTCCTTCCTGACCTTGTTTTTTCTACAATTTACAATTTGTGTGTTGTACGTGCGTCTTTGCCTATATTCTACTCTATTACTTCCCTACCCCTTTACACCTCCAACAACAACAACAACCAACCACAACAACCTCAACAACAGACTCTTATATTTTTGGTGTTTTCAGTTATAATGTTTTCACTTGATTTACTCTACATTCATTCAAGGTATCTAATACAAAAAAGAATTGAAAACCTAACCTAAAATTTGTATAAATATATGTTGTTGTGTGGACAACAACAACAATTTGTCGTCTTAGTACTTTTTGGCTTTTCTTAGTTAGACATTGTTTGAATATATATTTTTCAATACACCCACCTTACACCATATTTTTTGGATGGTAGGTAGTAATCATTGAATTATCATCATGTTCATCAACAAAACGATTTTCTCAAATTTATTTTTTTTCGCGCGATATTTTAGAGGAAAAACAAAACTATTGGCTTGTCCAAAAAAGAAAAAAAAAACTTGGTCAGTTATAATAAAAGTCTTATTTTTGTATTCAAATATTATTTCAAAATAAAGAGGGGAAAGTATGGCATTAGTAATGGAAAACAATATAAGTTAAAAGACGCTTACAGGACCATATAATTGATAAAAGGCAGCTGTCCTATATTTTCTATATCCACATGACATATATATTTGAGGTCTTAAATCGACATTGGAGAGGCTTTTCAACAAGAACTCTTTAATTTCCTCTGGGGCCCAGATGCGACAATTTTGGCTTTTCTGATATGATTCTATCAGTACAGACACGAAGGTCCGTCCGGTTCCGTTTCAGGTATTTTCATGGTTATATGAGCATATTCTAACATTTTGTTTTCTCAGAGGATAACCTTGCTAAAAGGCAGCTGTCCTATATTTTCAATATTCTCATGTTTTATATATTTGAGGTCTTAAATCGACGTTGGGATTTTGAAGTTTACGTTTTCCTGTACGTGGTCCAAAAGAGGAACTCACAAGTTTTTAAAACACATGATATCGGTGGCCTCTTCCAGACAAGGTGAGGTCCGGAAACTTTTCCCCTAAACAGCAATGGTTTCATTGCTTAAGTGCCACGTAGATACGCCGATTTGAAAGCAAACTTTTTCCAGATCAATACCATCCAACATCTCTTCGATCATAAAATAGTATTTATCATGTGTAAATCCACCAAGCCGCCATGGGATTAGGATAGAGGCATCTCGACAATAACTTTTTGGAATTTCCGAGTCCCAGATACGACAACATTGCTACATGACGACGTATCCATCGAGCTGAAAATGGGCCTCCAAAGTCAAGATAATTTTGAAAGCATACGTTTTCCAGAGCAATACATCCAAATCCGATCATAAAAAAACATATTAATCATTTGTTAATAAACCTCACCTAGCCACCATAGCATTAGGCTATGGTGGCTTTGTTGAGAAGCCTCATCGAGTTCCAGATGCGATAATTTTCCTACTAGACGTAGCCACCGGGTGAGCTGTAAATGAGCCTATTAAGTCATGATGGCTTTCCGATGGAATTCAGATTAATTTTCATGCATTGAATATGATTATTTTATTTTTTATTTTATTTTTTATTTTCTGAAATTGACAGTCATTAATATGTTCATCACAACGATATTCAAAGGGTGTACATACCAACATTGTTTTATACAAAATACTTCCGTTAACAAGGGGTTCTACGTTGTCATCGGACATGACAATAAATTGTTATCCGACTTTTTCCTTATTTATATCCTGGTCCATCCATAAACACCATCTACTCCCACAAACATCTTTTCGTTCCTTTTTCCCGCCAAAATTATATTTCTCTCTGCTGTCATATATGTTAGGGATCCAAAGGTGGAAAACTGCCTTTAATAATTAGTGTTTGTTATATTAGTTTAATTAATATATCATCAACTGTGTTTACTTTTAATAAAATTTTTATATTGAATTGGGAAGTACATCCATTCCGGTTTTCTATTCCTAAAAAAAAAACCGAAAACTCTTGATTTATATGAATTATATGTGAGCTATTCTAATATAGGGATTTGCAGTTACAAAAATAGATTTTATCGATAACATCGATTTTTTTCTTTTAAATAAGGACAGTTTCCTTTGAATAACATATGATCTGTTGCCGTACTACAAGAATCTGCATTTTTTACAACAATATCGTAGAAAATAGTACAAATAGTAGATTATTGCACTACGGGAATAAACCAATAGTTGTGTTCCATTTGTAATTATCAACCACTACATTTAACATTTGAGGTTAGGTTATAAATAATAAGTATTGTTGATTTTATTAATATATATTCAACGTTTACGTTATTTTTATTTTGTTCGGTACTTTTTTGTCACGAATTACATATACCATTCACATCCATATTTCATTTTTTATATATGGTGTAGGGTATAGTTTTGTAATGTGTTTCCTTTTTCAATACAATTATCAGCAGCTGTATTTTTTTGAATCTATTGCAGTTCCACAAATCAGTGCACTTCTTTGTGTAGATAGATTCTTGTAGAGCATACAGTGTGTAAAAAGTAGACATTTTTTTCGTAAATAATGCACAATCATAAGTAACATTAAAAAATGTATATTTGTAATAAAATTTTACGAAAAAAGGAGCAAAGGGATGCATAATTTTACTAAAATCTTAAAATTCGGTAAAAATTGGGGTCAGTATCTGTCAAAAATCCTTAAAATACCACATAAACATTGTTTGGGATATATATTTTACATGGGGTCTATACCTAAAGGGTATTTTTTGATGGAGATTTTTCTACTCAGTCAAAATCCAACATATCAAATTACAGTCAATTTTATTGAAAAAATTTTCAAATATACCAACAATTATTGGAGCTATATGTACGTTATACCTTAAAGTGGACCGATATATTTACATTTTGGTAGGGACATTTGTTAGGGTATACAAAAACTGATTCAGATTCCTAACCACAAAAAATACTAAATTGCAGTCAATTCGGTTGCGGATATTCTCAATATTCTGAAAAAAAATTAGTAAAAATTACGGAGTATTTTTTCTGCAAAAGTTACAGTGTTGAATTAAACATTTATTTACCAACTATTATGAAATTTGAGCATTTTCCTCCCTGATATATATTCACTCCCAAAAAATTATCGTAAACAACTACACTAATGATTGATTATTAGGTTAAACGAAATAAAATAAAAACAAAATCCATTTACATTCAAATTTTATTTTAATGCATGATGTTATTTTTAATATGGAATGTTTTGAAATTTTTTAACAAAATAATTGCATGCCGACAATGACATAGTTTTGAAAAAAATAAATAAATGCCCTCTCTTAAAGCACCCGCAAAAATAAAACCTTTATGTCTTTATGTTGTTATTTTGTGAGGATTAATTTGAGTAAAGAAATTCAAAAACTTTTTTATTTTTTCTGGACAAATTTGAATTAAAATTTAATATAGAAATTACCCGAAGATTCATCATCTGACGATGATAGTCCCTTTGAGGCATACCGTAGCGAGGAAGAGAAATCAGTTAAGGCTGCTACTGCTGTTCCAGCTGCTGCTGCTACCACTGCTGTTGTTGCTCCCACTAATACTGCCAACTCAAGCAATCAATCCAAAAAAGATACAAGCAATGAAAACTAATGATGATGACAAACTGCATCATATAACAATTCTTCCCCTATCGCTCCAACACCCTCCAACACAAAAAAAAAGACGGAAGCTAATAAAATTTATAGTTTTAAGTTTAATTATTGTTTTGAGAGACATCGGAAAGCAAGCAAATGTATTTTTTTGGTTCTTTTATTTTTTTTTCACACACAAAAAAAAATTATATATATAAAAAGGTATTTAGAGTAAATGTCAGTATTTAGTGGTGTCCTCTGTGTTCTATCTATATGTTTTGATTAGTGTTTGGTTTTAATGTTTTGTGTTCATTGCTGTAATTGTTTTTAGTACGAAATGGGTGGAATTGGTTAAGAAAATGCTGATTTAGGTTTAATTGATTTTCCCTTCCATTTCACATTCTTCCCTTCAAAAGAAGCAGCAGCAATTTTAACTGACATTTTTGAATAGGTTAATTTGTTTTTTTTTTTTTCTTTTTTTACTTTTTTTCTTCCACTTAAATCAGCATTTAAATAAGATATTGAAAACATATGAATTTCCACACCACCGATATTTTCTTTTACTATGTACTATTGTTGTTCTCTTATATTACATCTTGTAAACGTTTCCAGAGTTTTTGTCAATATGTATACTTGTGTTTCCTTTTATTGTCGTCCCCCCTCATATTGATGACGGGGGAGGATTTTCCTTCTTTGCAATGTTTAACTTTAATGCTTTATATTTTATTTCTTTTTTTGTTGTTTTCTTCCATTTCTAGGTTGTGAGTTCGACAAATGGCGAATTAAATGCGGACGATCCCACTGCTGGTCACTCAAATACTCCCATAACGCAACAGCCTGAAGTTGAATTAGTCGATGAAACAAAGTAAGTAAACCACCAAGTAGTCATCGCCTATATAAGACAAGATCCAAGTTATAGGTTAAAAGATTCATTCATTCTGTACAGAGACCATAGGTCTTTATAAAGACCAATTGGTCTGTATAGAGACCAAAGGTCTTTATAAAGACCAATTGGTCTGTATAGAGACCACAGGTCTTTATAAAGACCAATTGATCTGTATAGAGACCACGGGTCTTTATAAAGACCAATTGGTCTGTATAGAGACCACAGGTCTTTATAAAGGCCAATTGATCTGTATAGAGACCACAGGTCTTTATACAGACCAAATGGTATTTTTGGAGACCATATGTCTTTATAAAAACTAATTGGTCTGTATCTACAGAGCTCTTATTACATAACATTTTTGTATAAAAAATTAAATAAATAAATTAAATTAAAACACCTTTTCCCCTTGCAATTTCCTTACAGATGTTGTTGTTTCTTTAAACGAAAGAAGAAGAAATCATCGCGTCAAAAATGACTAGATGGTGTTCAATGTAGTCCAGAACGCGAAGCAGTTACATTGCTACGCGCCACTTCACATTCAAATTCAAGGGATAGCGTTCTAAATAATCCAAGTCAGGATTATATACAACAGGCAACGTCACAACATACGTTGCGTTATCCTCCATCCGCGTCAATGCTGACGCCTACACCAACTACTAATACACCGACACTTCCGTTGTAATTTAAAAACATTTAAAGTTAAACAAACAAAACAAAAAAAAAAAAACATTAAAAAATCCATAAAAAAATAAAAATTATATTATACATACATTATTAATTTAGCATTATTATTATGATTTATTATAAAAACAAAAGATAAAACAAGAAGAAGAGAAGAGGAAGAAACCAACCACATTTAAAATATTTTTTATTTTATTTTTTTATTATTACCAATTTATTATTTTTTTGCGTTATTATATAAATTATTATAATTCTATTATAAATTAAATTAAAAACAAAACAACAACAACAAACAAAAAAGATTGATAACATGATATATTATTATTAAATGATATGATGATAATGATAAAAACCAAGATGATGATCAAAAAAAGCAGTAAGAGTAAAACTAAAAAAAAGATGAAAACAAAAAAAAAAAAGAAACAAATCACAACTTATATAATTTAATAACAACTTTAGCCTTTTTACGAGGGGGCAAATCAGCAACATCAACAACAACAGTTTAATTTGTATACAAGATTAAAAACACAAAAACCCATCAAGAAAACAACAACAAAAAAGAAAAGCGGAAAAAATATAAAAAGAAACCTATTAAAAACAAAAATGAAAAAAAAAAAAAAAAATCAAAACTTTAATCTTTAATTTCATTGATAAACAAAATATGTTGTTTTGTATGGCTCCGTTGATTTTCACAAATGGTTTCCACTTTTCTTCCATTACTATACATCATTATCCTTTTATCATTACTCACTGCCTTTTTTCCTCATTTTCATATTCGGTTTCAATTCTGAGGCTTTGAAAATTTTCAAAAAATTTAAATTTTGTTTTTGTGTTTTTCGATATAATTTTGGGGATATTTAGTTTGCCTGGTTATGTTCATGATTACCCCATAACAGTTGCCTTCAATTTGGAAATAGATATATATGTATATATTGTAGAATTCTATTCATTTTGAGGGTGATTTTTGCCTTCTAATGTAGATAATCTACATTAGTCTGCCTTTTGTAGTTTTCAGGTTAATGTCCTGACCTGATCATAGTTGATAATCCGAGTTTTCAATCTCGATCGAAGGTTTTTACAGTATATGTTCTTGTCATCATATGTGGATGTGGTGTGAAATGCTGTTGTGGACAAGCAGACATCTGTTTTTCTTCAATGGCGATGGAATAGTTCCTCAAGAGTATTTTACTAGTAGGGACATATGTGAAATCGGTCTGTATGTTTCACCTCTGCCGGCATTCTTCCCTGGCTGGCTCATCACAATCATTCGCTAGTATCTTTGCCTTACTTCGGGTATACATCCAACAGCAGGTATATAGAGTGAGCAGCGCAGCAGTGATGATGCTCTGAATAATTTCGGAAGGTACTCGGATCATTCCCAAGGGAAACGGCTAATGGGAATTTAGCTGTGCAACTGGATGATTAATTAAACTTCCCGATTTGCTCTGATATTTAGATTAATTTAAAGAATGCACAATTGCAGGTAGACCTTGTGGAATTTTAATCGACTGTGAGCTTCAATTTTCTCATTCGATTTTCAGAAATTCATAAGTACCAACAAAATGACGTTGATATCCTTGTATGACATCGATATGTGTAGAATAGGGGTCGTAAATACCAGAATGTCTTAATCAATTTACTGACTTGTTCCGCGATCATGTCCAGAAATGTACTATAGGCCCATACGTACGTAATGGATCTAAATCTAAATCTAATTGCCATAATATAGTTGGAAATTTTATAAACAGTGTAAGTATATTTGATCGTGTTTGCGAGAAAGGTGAGTAGTTAGTTTGGCATTACACAAAATAAACAAAGGTCAATAAGTCAAAAATTGTTTTTTTTTTCTAATACTCAATGAAATATTCTAGATGTCAATTCCATGTGAATTTACTCGCTCTTTCCCTTCGCCTTATTCTGAACAACATTTTCCAGTGAATTTTTTCGCATTCTCGCTTTCGCCTTATTCTGAATGAAGTTCGAAAGCGAAAAAATCCGCTTTGGCGAAAAATTAGGTATTCTGAATTACAGATGAGATGAAATTTTGTGCGAAATTTTTCGCTAATAAATTTAAGGGGAGTTGACTACAAAAACATAAGTAATAACTATTTTTATGAAAAATATTTACACAATACTTATTCTATGACGATTTAGAATATTATAAATGATAGTAAGCAAATTTTTAACTGGAAAACAGTCAATAAAATGCCATTGGAAATCCCATTGATAACGATGCATGCTGCCAAAGAATGTATGAAGGTAATAAGGAATATTTAAGTCGAGTTTGATGCATTTTGGAGGCGAAATACAGACATTTGTGTGAGGATCTGTCTCTCAAGAAAAAAATTTTAAAAATTATGGAAAAACCAAATTTGCCTGATGAGCCGCTTAAGAGTGAAAAACTGATATAAAAATTATGAAAGAACAAAAAATATTTTTTTTTTTTTTAAAATTATCGTGTGCATGATTTGAAGGAAGAAATAAAGGAGTAGGAGCAAATCATAACATAACTGACCACTTTAAGAATTTGGGGAGATAAAATATCAAAATTAAATAAAAAGACACACAATTATGTAGTGAAATAATAAACTGTGAATTAATTAATTAAATCGCAGATTTCTTCCTATTATTCGTTGTGTTTTTGCCATCATAAAAAAATGTTCTTTTATTTGTAATCTATTGTAGTTGTTGCAACAAATTGCATCAAAACAATGAACAGCTGTTTCACATGCCATATTGTAGGTTGCCATATTTTCAAACTTTAATTTATTTTCTTTTAATTACAAAGCATTTATACAGCGGATTCTTGATATTTCACATTTGTATTGCTATAAAGTTTAAATAACAATAAAAAGCAACAATTTTTAATAACAAAAATCAATAAATAATATATTGAAAAATATTACACAATTAAATTACAATGGGGCAACACACATTGCAACTTAAATTACAATATGGCCACACACAGCGCAACTTAATTTACGATATGGCAACACGAATCTTTTTTTCAACCACCATTTTCGAAAACTCGAATCTGCATCTCGCATTTTTTGCGTCTCCCTATTCATTCAGAATAAGGCGAGAATGTGAAAGCGAAAAATTTTTTATATGCGAGATATCTCCCAGCGAATATCCAGAATAAGGCTGGTCATATTTTCTATATAAACACTTTCAGTTTGGCGAAAAAGTGAACAGAATATTTTTTTAATACCGTAAGTTTTACCCCAGCGATAAAAAAAGCTTCTGAGCACTGGGATTATTACGGAATTATTTTCCCCCTGCTCTGGCTCGTGAATATAAGCCGCCTTGTCGTAATTGGATTTTTTTTTTCGATGGAACGAAAATTATTATCTAATTGTGTATTGCTCTTATAAATTTTTTTTTTAAATAATGCTATAAATATTGACAAAATTAGCGATCGGAAAAACCCGAAACATTTAGAACTGGTAGCCGCAGCTGATAATGGCAAATGTTGTTTTTTTGTCACTGTGATAACTCTAGCAATTTTCATAGGCAACTGTATTTATTTGGCCGTCATTACAGTAATTGAGAAATAACTCCATTTACGTTGCATACTTTTAGGCAAAGACTAATAAAAACATTTTTTTCAATAAAAAAAAATAATTGAAAAATGTAAAACTGACTAAAAATATTTAAAAGTAAATTAATGAAAAATATTTTTTTTTCCTGGCCCAAATTAATAAAAATATGTTTTCCCTCTTTCACTTTTCCTCTCTTTTTTCAGTTCTCTCTCAGCAAACATTTTTTGTCTATATGATCATGTTGTCATTCGCATTAAGTGCATTAATTTCTTCATATGTATTTTTATTATATCATGTTTCTTCTATTTTAATAATATATAAGCAAATATATTTGAAATGAATAAAAAATATAATTTTTATTTTTAAAATGAAAAAGTGATCCAATAAAAATATTAGTTTATAGTTAATTTTCTTTGCCTTTACATATATTTTAGTTATACCTCAACTACTTCTAATCTAAATATATGTAATAATTAAGTTTGTAAAAAATATTTAATTTAAGTTTTCAAACTTTGTGTTTGCTATTTAAATAGAGATACTTGTTTTGACATATATAAATAATGTAATTTTATTTTGTTTTTTGTGTGAACATTTTTTTCTTTAAACAAAATAAAAACAATAATCACATACACACAAAATGAACATCAAAAAAATGCTCTTCTTTCGAATTAAAATTATTCACAGACACACAACAACAACACAAAACAATGTTAGTTTACATTAAAAAAATAAATAAAGACAAAATTCTCGGAAGAAAAATGAAAAAAAAAACAACCCATTACAAAAAAAATCAACAAAATGCTATTGTAAATTTGAAGCAATTTTTTATTATTATTTATAAACTAAAACAACAACAAAAATAAATTTAAAATAAATAATATATTAAAATAATAATGTATTTAATAATGGATGAAGTACTATATACATATTAAATCTGCTAACAGAAAACATAAAATTAAAAAAAAAGAATACAACACCCCCCCAAAAAACCAAATTAAATTAAATTCGAATAAAAATCCCACAAACAACTCCGATTGAAATGCCCGCAGACACAAAAAAAAAAACAAATAAAAAATAAGAATAAAAACCAATGACAAACAAATTAAATTCCAATTGCAGTTATAAAAAAATGATGATGATAAACATATATAAATAAGGTCAGTTTTTTTTTAGTGTGTAACTTTTGTTAATTTTTCTTTTATCAATTTATTTTCTTATTTTTTCCGCTTTATGTGTGCGTTGTGTTAATTTGTTTTCTTTGTAAAAAAAATTTGATTTCAATAGGTCTGAAACAACAACAAAAAAACTTTAAATTATTTGATATTTTAATAATGTTGATTGCATTTGTGGTAGCAAATGGAGGTGAGTATCTTCAATTATATTACGATTTAAATAATAATGTAAAAAAATGATTTTTAAAAGAATTTTTCAAAAGACTATCCGTCCCATAAGCATAAAATCTTTAAGAGTTTTTCTAAAGATGCATCAAAGTTCTAAACCGATTAAACAGTCGGCCTTATCCTGGATATTCGCTAGGGAGAAATCTCGCTTGTGGAAAAATTTTCGCTTTCACATTCTTCCCTTATTCTAAATGAATAGGGAGAAGCAAAAAATGCAAGATGCGAATT